TGCGGCCGGGCGGGGCCCCGCCCGCCGGTCTCGCCCGGTGCCGCTGGGGGTGAGCAGATGCCCGTTCCCTGACGAGACGCAGGCTGCCACCCCAGCGGATTTAATCCGGCAGGCTTAGCCCAAGGGAGAATTAACGCTGTCACTAATCACATTGGCGATATTAGTGCTCCCAAGCGTGAACCAACCTGAGCCGGGTCATTGCCAGCACGCAGGCGGCTGGGCCCCTCGGCACGGGGTCAGCTAGCTGCGGTGGGAGAGCTGGGCAGCAATTAGTATTTTTCCTTTGCGCTTAGAGGGGGATTTTCGCATTAAAGGGGGACGAGCTGCAGCGGATCAGATTTACACCCCAAATCCAGCCACGTTTTCCCCTCGCTTTGCAGAGCCAGCAAAGCGCAGCCGGCCAAAGCAGGAGGGAAAGCCCATTCCTTCCTGCAGCCGAGCCTGGGCAGGAGATAGGCAGGAGCGGGAGCCACACCGCTCCGGAGGAAAGGCAGAGGCAAAGAGTGCCCGCAAGGATCCTGCGGATCAGCAGAGGGATGCTGGGAGGGGAGGGGGCATCTGCCTTTGCCCTCACAAGGCCAGCCTGCCACGCAGGGACACAGCAGCAGCCCACTGCCCTTCCTGGCGGGGAAACAAGATCATCTGGGGGACACATACCCGCCCGGAGAGGGACAGAAGTGGCCACTGCCTTCGGGAAGTCCAGGGTTGGGAGAAGGGGGGACCGGCAACGCAGCCCGTCCAGCCCAGCACGCAAGCCCCAGCCCCACAGCGTAGGCAGCCAGCAGGCCCCACGCAGCACCCAGGCGTCCGGACCCACGGACAACAGCCTGGGGTCAGCACAGCAAGGCCATACATCACCCAGCTCCCTGGCACGAGCGAGGGGCTGCGGGACAGAGCCGGTTCCGTGGGATGGGGGCGCGGGGAGTTTCTCTGCAGGGCTAACCCCTTCCTTGCCTCTCGGACAAGCAGCTGCACCTCGCCTCCATCCGGTGCCGCGCCGCGCACCGATGCCACCTCCCCGCTGCTCAGCGCCTCGGCCCCGGCGTTCTCAGCCAGCAGCCAGCGCAGCGTGGCACAGCTCAGCGGGACATCTGGGGATGAAAGGAGAGAAAGCGGAACTTGTTAAGCCGACGAACGCCATCCCTGCGGCTCAGCAGCCCCGCTCAGGCCAGAGCGATACAGGATGGAGCAGCATGTGCCTGGTGCCTCCCCTGCGAGGCCAGGGCTGACACTGGGGCCGTTCCCCTCCCCGCTGAGACAAGCCGAGCTCGGTCACGCGACTGCCATCGCGTCCACGTGCCAGCCCACGAGCAGACGCATGCTGGGGTAGTGACTGCGCGGGGTCACGCAGCCCTCCTCACCCAAGAAAGGGGCTGCTGACTGCCCCAGCCTGCATGCACGGGCTGCGACGTGCCATCCTGGCCTCTCCTGGGATGGCCACAAGCTGGAAAGCAAGCGCCTCTCCCCAAGGAGATACCCCAGGAGCTCCTGGGATGCTCCTCTCCAGGGACCCACCTGACCCGGAGGTTTTCAGCGCGTTTTTCAGCAGCTCCGAGGACACCCTGATGGAC